TGCTACTATGCTATTTAACAAGATCTGAATCCATCAGAATAGAAAATTTTTCATCAACAACACATTTAATTGAATCTGAGAGGAAATGCCTTCTCTTCGTGTAATTGTACCCTCTTTATTTCGGCCTCCCTGATTAGTTTAAACGTTCAGTATCTTTTTCTAGTTTCTTCATTTGCGATTCCTTCTGGTGATCGCCAATAGCAGATGAAAATTTCTTTCGGTCATCAAATCGTTTTCTGCCGTTAAAATGTGGGCTTCCTTCCATTACAGATCTACATGAATATCTGCTCGATCCCGTTGTTCATATATCACTGTGCAAGTCTTCGTTACTCGTTACTATAAACCTTCATCCCCAACTCGAATAACTGATCAAGGAACTCTTTTTCTCTTTTCGTAATTCAAAAAATCCTGAATCTGAGGTTGAAACTTCGGCAATATTATTTTAATAACATTCCAATCGTTTTTTCTCATACAATAAGTTAACAACTTGTATCTTGTAAACTCTTAAGTCTTAATATGATAAGTACCAAACAGCTCCGCTCATAGTTTCATCCTATATTTCCCCAACGACAGTTTTGAACACTTTCTGGAGGGTTGTTTTAAACACTCCAGATTTGTGTTTAAAGATAAAAAAGAATGGGTGGTTTCATCGACGCTCGATTAGTTTTACGATGACATTTTTTCTCATACAATATCAGGCGCTGGTGGAGCTTCTAATCTTGAGACTGGGAAAAATATATTTTGCATTTTTTGCAACATGATCTATAGTTTTTTCAAGCGCCACTTTTATTTTAAGTTTTACTTTAAGTTTTAAGAAAGTTATAATACGTTTTTATTTAAACAGAACTTCAAACATAAGGTACTCTTGTACTACAATAATCACAATTTGTTAGGATGCAAATAAACAGAACAGTCGAATTTAAACTAGACTTTGAATAGTAGTCAAGGACTACACAATTAAATACTATATTACAAGCTCTCTCAGTAACTTTACCTGCGCGTCAGAGTTAAAATCTGGGCAGGAAAAGACCACAAAGCCGAGTAATTACAACTGTTAGAGATCAGGAACTAACTATATAGCAGCGCGCAGTGTGATGCCGGAAACACTGTCTGTCCCAACTTCAAAGACCTGAGCTTGAAACCTCACAACTAGTTTGCATTCTCGTGCAGAATATAGTAAGGATAAGGTAATACCAACGACTGAAATCACAATAACTGGTTAATTAACATAAGATACCCTACAGCCTTCTGACACTCCGTATTGTGGCCTGGAGCCAAGCCATCTTGAAAAGCCCTTGCGAAGTGTTTACAGAAGGACACGTTCCTATGTTTTAACTTGTCTATATATAGGTTGATGAATTCATTATTCCGTTAATAGTAACTAGACTTCTAATGCCATCTACAGTGAAAAAACGCCAAATCATTTGATTTGAGGGTATTTTACGGTTTGTTGGATATGTTATGATCTTACTGATCCGGCTTTCCTGCGTCTAACAACGTTAGATATGTAATCATGAAAAACAAATGACATCCAGTCATTCATCGCTGAAATTGACATCCAGTCATTCATGTTGTGTTTCGAAAGTTGTTTTTTAATTGGATTTCTCACCTTTCGTCTAGCAAAAAGACGTATACGCGTCACATCTGAAAGAGGAATCTCAGTACCGATGGAAAATAGCTGTCTTTTGAGGTCATAGCTAGTCTTTGTTAGATTAATAATGCTATTTCAGAGTGAGAATTAATCAGATTTGGGAGTGGTTTTAATTTTCCTTCAACATTTACCCTTCCTTTCTGGAAAAATGTTTCTTTGTGCCTTTTCAAAATTCGAGAAATACTCGATTTTTCAACACCAACTGTTGAAGCAATATTTCTTACAATTATGGATATGTGATTGTTAAATGCGATAATCTTTGTTCTCTTTCAAAATTTTATATCCATTTTAGTATATTAAAATGAACAAATGCAAAACACACTTAAAAGTGTGAAAAAGTAATTTTCTCTTCTCACAGAAACTAGCTTAAAAATATTGCAAGGATTCTAATTTGTTGTCTAAATCAGTATTTGCAAGCCGTCAAAAGTGGACATCATGACGACATCAAGACAGATAAAACTGCCTTGAGAGACTTGCTGGCGCCAGCTGGCAGCCAACTTATTATTCTTCCAATAAACCACATTGTACCAATTAATTTGCACACTATAGTAATTACAGTATTAACAGTAAATTAGAATCTGGGCTAATGAAAAGGTAAAAGCTTCGAAAGTAATTTCACAGATTGCAGCTTTTGTAATTTTAGAGAAAGTCTTTAAGAAAGAAAAAAATTAATTAATACAGAGGGAGTTCGCACATTTTTAAAATATTTTCATTGTATTTACAGAACTATTTTACTAAAATTTTTGTGTTTTAAATGTTATGCTTGATAACACTAATTATTTATTATCTTTCTACACCGTAATTTTCAAGATAATAAAGCTCCTTGTAGTATGCGGAAGAGTAAAAATAATTTTTTACTCTTCCGTAAGTATTTTGTCTCATTCCTCTTAAACAGCTTTCCAAAGTCCAAGGATGGTTGTTGGTCGATGTTTGGACTATCCGCTTTAATTTAGCACGGATATAAGGGAAAGGGTATGGCCTTGACACCCGCTTCCTGTTCCATTTTCTCGAGTAAAAAGTAACAGTGGAAATTGATGTATGCTGCTTGCTTTCTCTTGATGCAATTCTACTGATTGATGGCATTGTGGGTAAAATGAAGGTATTTCATATTTGAAAACTGAGTATGAAATATATACATGATAATATGTAGAGTTATTTTCAACATTTTTCTCTACCGACTTTATTTTTAATTTGCCGTTATTTGAAAAATTCGCAACAATCATAAATCCCCTTGGAACATTTTCTTTAGATTGTTTGAATCCCGTTTTAAGATTTTTCACCTCTTTGAAGACAATAAATGCATCTATTTTGATTGCAGTCATTTAAATACCTTCAAGATTCATTTAGTGGGACAACATATTTCCATTTTTATCTGATAAAGTTTTCTCATAAAGAAATCTGCAACGCTTTCTGCTTTCGTCGATATGTCGTAGAGAAACATGCACATTATGTTTTTCCGCCTTTTTAAGGCTCAAATCAGCATTAATCACTTGACATTGAGAATTTTAATGAGTTTGCATCTGGTTTTCCACTTGAAGCTAAACTTTGACGTTCCTTTTGTTTGACGTACACAATATTACTTATCCTAGCTTTAGACATTGAAACGCCATGGCTTTTAGAGCGTTTTTAATAAATATATACGAGCAATTTTCCTCTGAAAGAGCATAAACATAGCCTTTAATGCATTGCTTCCTTAAAATCGCTATTTTGCTTAAAACAAATTGTCAAGTAGCAGATGATAATTTTTAGTTTCAAAAATATAGTTACAGTTAAACAAATTTTCCAAGCAAACGATTTTTATAGCGAAGCAAAACTGTCTAAAATGTGGGCAAAAAATATCTATAATAGTGCTTATTTAATACCCCAACCTGCTTTTATACCTGATGCAACCAGAACATTTTCAGCAATTATCAACAAAAAGACAAGATACTTAGCTTAATAAAAGGGTCACAGTCCGCTGAAGATTAAGATGCTGATTAGTATCATTGAGAATAATGCATTTTTAATTTTAGTTACTGAGACATAAATTTTTAAAATCTAATGTACTGAACATTTAACAGATTGACGTATGCATTGGGGAAAAGTACCTTTACATGCAAAATAGTAAAATATGTTTTGCTGCTATGACCTAGTACCGAATCAAAGATGTTTCAAATATACCCGAGATTAACATTCTACAATTTTTCCTTGATACATAACGTCATTGCTTATTTATTAAGCAAGTTCTAGACCTATGCTAACAAGTTTTAAAGTCACTAAGACCTCACATGCGTATCATTTGTTCCCTCCTTACGAATTCTCATGAGTGGAAACACTTATTTCCCTTAGCAAAGTTCATTATTATTAATTGTTCCTCAGTTTATTAATGCTAATACAAACAAAGGTTTCAGACAATAAACGGACTTTCCAAAAATTGATATGTGTTCTCATCTTATGAAATGTTCAGCAACAATTTTAGCTGGTTGGCCTTTGGATAATACGTAATTGTTTTAGACAGATTGGGATGAAAAACTCATACTTCTGATATTTTATAGCTCCAATACATCCAATGAGTTTGCATAGAGCTACTTGGATAAACAAAATTGCGTACCAATTCTCTGAAGCCCAAAAAAAAAAAAAAAAAAAAAAAAAAATTCGAAAATAGTCACTCAAGATATTGAAACCTGCAGGAAAGCCTTTTCCTTTCAGATTTCAATTTCTTGAGTGAAGATTTCTGGAAAGTGTTGAAAAGAAAAGGTTCTGAATATTATAGAACTTTATAAAAATCGATTTCTGGAAATATTTTTCTTTTATTTTAGCTCAGGATACATAAATTTCAAGAAATGTCAAAGCGAACCATATTGCAATCGATATATCCTAAAGAATATTGGACACTTTTCTGCCCTTCAATTTTTACAATAGATTTGACAGCTTGAAAGATTTTAAATTTATATAAACACAGATACTGAAATGAGTACAAAATGAAAATAATGTCCTTCAAATAGAATGTCAATGAAATTTTATGAAAGGAAATATTTGATGAAATACGATCATTGAATCGAATATAATAACTCATAACTAACTCAGTATGATAATTAAATTCGGTATTATTATCATACGTCTTAGTTATTGATGCAAATGCAAAAAATTCTACAGTTAATAAAGATCTATAATGAAATGTATAAAAGTAGTCTTCAATGTTATTTTATCAGAACGTCTGTTTACATATTAAGAATTTGTCAAACACAAACGGATTGTTCACACATTAAACTGCTTACATAAACAAATTAATCTATTAAATCTTCAATAATATATTCTAAAAAGTTTCTGCTTTATGTAAAATTGAATCACAGCATAAATAAAAAAACCGTACGATCTTTGAATTTATATTTCAAAACGCATGAAAAAGAAGCATAAGTAAAAATTTTACTGGTTTTTGCAAGGTACCAGAACACAGCAATTACAAATGAAACTTAAATTTCAATCAATCAAAAATCAATTTTTAATGGATTAATAATCATAGAAATCAATTAATAATTATTTTAAAAACTGAATTATCCTTTAATTGCTTGTTTAATGATTAATAATCGATTAATGAATGTTGATCTGGAATACAACTATCGATCTCTCATGTCTGGAGAAAGGATGCTTGCATTACAATGCAGAAATTGTGGATTGTGTGATCTACAATATATACTTGAGGTGTCTCGTAGCCCGCTCATCTTCACATCCATAGCTGGCTCCTAAAATAAAAATATTTATTTTCACTCTTAAAATCGCATTTGGTCTGATATCAGAAAATTGAGATAGCAATACTAGTGCTATAAATTCATCTCAATGCTCATTTAACCACCTAAATTCCATGCGGAAAGATTTAATGTGATATTGTCTTGTTAAAGGGATTGTTCTTAGAACAAGAAAAATAAAGTTTTCTTAGAGTAATGTACAGCAAAAGATTTTTGCATTGCTTGAATTAGAGACCAAAATCTGAAAACGACGCGAAAGATCCTAAGTAAGTGTTCGCAAGTGCTATCGTACTTCCCAGCTATCTTGCGGGCTATAGTAAGCATTACTCTTATTCGTAATCAGTCGATGACATGCTGTCATCAACAGTATACCATGTTGCTGTTAACTGAATCAAAACTATTTCCCAGGCTACGATATTATTCAAAGCATGAAAACTATACCTTATTTTTTATTTTTTTAAAAATAGAGCTGAATACCTTCTTGACAGATAGATGGTCATTTTCGTCCGTCAACGTTTTACTGTTTTGATTCGTCAGAAAATTAATACAGTTCTTAAAAACCAAGTTTCACGCCAATGAATTCTTGCTCACATTTACGCTTATACTGAAACTATTTAAGGTCTCGTATTTGAAAATTAATTTATACATAAATACAATCCTCCCAATAAACTGTAATTTGGATACAATCTGTAAGAAATACATCTTTCACTAAGTGTCATTTGTACCAATTCCTCAACGAGACTGTAAGCGATTTATCGCTATGTATAAGATGAGAACAAAAATGTAAGAATGGTGTAAAAGGCTTTTTTATTTAAAATTAAGTAAGCTGAACAGAAGGCTTACTTAGTGTTTACAAATCAGCCAGCAGTTGTAGCGAGAATTCACAGTAGAATTTTAAATTTAAAACTAAATATAAGTATATATGGGCGAAAGGCTACACAGACTAATTTAAACACGAAAGTTGACTCTTAATTTTATACCTGCGTGAAAGCATTATCGGAAAGAATAAAGCAACTCCGAAGACAGGAGCTCTTATCTTAGAATAGCAAATAACGTGACCTTCAGCAGGCAGAACACGCTCTGTCGAAACAATCGCAATCCCTGTCTTAAGTACACGCGAGCTAAATTTGGATTATGACAGGAAAACGGAAAGAGAGAAGTGTCGTACAGGTTCAGAACATTAAATAACTTCATCTGGAACTCGCTAAATCATATCCAAAATTCACTGGCCTTGAGCAAAAGTCTTGGTCTAGAACGGAGAATGCAGTTAACCGTCATAAAAACACCCTTGCAGTTAAATTCGAAAAACTTCTTTTACAGTCTTCCAGTTCAAGTAGTTCAAAAAATCTTCCCATTGTAAACATCAAGCCAATAGTTAATATTTCTAATGTTAGTCTTTCAGAAGAACAAGAGAGAATTCTAAAATATAATTTTAAAAACTTCTCACAAACCTGTAAACCCTCGATTCCAAAGATTTTGGCTCCTATCGAAAAAGCTTTCAAGTTCAGTAAAGTTTCAGATTCACAGAAAGAAATGATTAGGCATCTTATCGCTCATAATGTGAAATTCAATAATAAACCTTTGAAACCAAATCTAACTGCGAGAGAAAGAGCTACAATGCGCGAAATTTATTCTAACCCGGATATTATCATTTCAAAGGCCGACAAAGGTGGCCAGATAGTCGTCATGGATAAGAACACTTACATCGATGGTGTCACTAAACTCTTAAACGAAGGACCATATAATCCGATCCCTAAAGATCCTTCACCTTCAGACTTATCCAAAATAAAAACTTAAACTGCGATCAAATCTTCGCAAATCATTTCAAGCAACTTAAAACATTCGCTTATCCCATCTGTTGCGAATTGTGCCAGATTATATGCTCTTCCCAAAATTCATAAAAGTGGTATTCCTTTCCTTTCCGCCCTATTGTATCAAATTTAGGTACTGCCTCGTATCCTTTAGCTAAATATTTAGTTTCTAGATTTTCCACTCTGTTAGACAATAACATTTACACCATAAAAAATTCAATAGAGTTTGTAGAAAAAAGGTTAAAAACATTTCTCCTAGTAATTTACTCATGGTTTCTTTTGATGTAAAATCATTATTCACCAATGTCCCAGTGGAGGGTGCATTAAGATGTCTAGAAACCAGACTTCGCGAATTTCATTTCTCTTGCATCGAAATTGATGAGCTAATTTCTCTCACTCAACTCTGTTTGAAACAAACACATTTTGTTTTCCAAAATAAATATTACAAGCAAACTGAGGGATTAGCCATGGGAAGTCCCCTCAGTCCCATCCTGGCTGATATCTACATGCATTATTATGAATCAAAATTGTTTGAAACTTTAAACTTCCCGGCATGGTTCCGCTACGTAGACGATACTTTTACCCTGTTTGAAGGTAATAAAGATGATTTAAATAAAGTTCTTTCAACAATGAATTCTATTGATCCTGCTATTCAGTTCACTTTTGAACTTGAGACTTGCAATTCTCTTCCGTTTCTCGACATTCTGGTCACACGTAACACATCCAACTTCAGTACTACAGTTTACAGTAAACCTTCATCGGTTTGCCTTCCACCACACTGTAAATCATGTCATCCGACTAAACAAAAGTTAGCTTCATTTTATTCCTATGTTTTTCGTGCTCTTCAAGTTTGCTCCTCCAAACTATCCCTTGATAAAGAACTAAATTATTTAAAAGCAATAGCTATTGACAGGGGCTTTTCACCCAACATTATTAATCAAGCAGTTAAAAAATTCTCATCTCAACACACTAAAAGCCACACTCTTATTTTAGGAGATTATAAAAATTCTGTTGTCATTCCCTTCTTTCCATCAATTAGCTATAAAGTTGCACATATTTTGCAGAAATTTAACTTTCGGGTTGTGTTTACTCTCCCCCATCAATAAAATTCCAACTTTTATACTCAAGGACCCCATTCCGGATATGAATTCCTGGGGTATTTATAGGATTCCTTGCCAGTGTGGTTTAATTTACATTGGCCAAACTAAGAGAGCCTTAAAATTTCGCGTCAAAGAACATGAGGCATATGTTAGAAAAAAGGAAACACAGAGGTCTTCTGTTGCTCAACATTGTTGGTCCGAAAATCACACTTTCAATTTTTCTGCTGCCAAAATTATTCAAAAAACATCTTCCGTTGGAGAACTGGATTTTCTAGAGGCATTTCACATTCATAAAAATCTTTCTGTTCTAGTTAACGATCCTAATTCCAATCCAAATTTGCCTTCGGCTTTTAGAGAAATTATGTTTTAGTTCTGGTTTCGCCAACAGATGGCGCCACTTGCTTATTCTTGTCCAGGCTTTCTTATTTTATCTAATCATTATTTCCTATCTTGTTCATTTGCGGTTTTGCAGCTGAAGATGATGGTTCGGTAAAACCATCGAAACTAGTCCTGTGAAAATTTTGTAGGTATAACGCTGATTTTTGTTGTTTGACTTCTGAATTAGTATTAAATAACTGATTAATTAATGTAATTAAACCTCATAAATACTTAATTCCAAAATAGAGTAAATAGAATTAAAATTTTCTATGTATTGTAACACATTAGTGTTCTCGTCACGAGATGAATAAGCCTGTTTATTACATGAGGCAAATAATTTTGCACACTCATTTATTTACTGGAATGAAATCCATTGCTAAGAAGAAAGTATCAATAGTATGTTATATTTCTGCATACACCTTAAAAATTTAAATACCACTTTTTATTTTTAATTTATTTCTTTTTTCATGATTAAAGGATGTCTATTCTGTGCTCCTATCTTTCAAACGATTTAATTCCTTTTCCATCAAAAATATAAAGGAACAAATTTCAGAAAAGGAAAAAGCAAATATAAGTAGAAAATGCACACATTTTTTATTCAAAAGAAAGGTTTACCTTGAAATATTGCAGTAGGCAAACTAAAAGTTTTCCGATATACTGTCAAGAGAAAAACATTAAATTCATCTTATGTTACCGAAGTAAAAAAAAAAAAAAAAAAAAAAAAAAAAAAAAAGATAAAAAAAGAAACAAATCGGATTGTTGGATTCAATTTCAGAAAAGAACTGAATAGATGAAGCGAAAGGTTTTTCTTCGTAGATAAGGACATAATAATGTTATCTTTCTATCCTCTGCGAAGTTTTAAAGTGACATTGACGTAACAAATAATGAATGAAAAAGAATTTTTTTTTATTTAAAATGGAAAAGGTGTAGATAAGTGCAAAAGTGTTGTGTAATGGATTTTAGATTGGCTCAATCAAACAAATGTTGTGTAACTGGTTTTAATTAGTGCAAAAAACACGAATAATAATAATTTTTTAAATTTCGCTTTACTTTTAATCGTCAATCTCCTCCCGGGCGTGAACGTAGAGTATTCTGCGAAGCTACTGGCTAGGATCTATACCTAAGCAGTCTCGGCCACGGGGATGTAATAATTACGAGCCTGGCGGTTCCCGATGATCCGTGGGGTGGTAGCCTATCTCCACTCTTCACGGGTCGGGTGGCTTAAATCCCCGTAACTAGGGCATCGGTAGACAAATAGCGCCTGGGCTATTGAGCGTCCAGTCACCGGTGTCCTTGTTATTCCTTGTAGGGCCTGGAGGGAGGGGTAACCCTTGTAGTACTGGCGGAAAGCATCTAAACGACCAGTCAAAGCTGTAGGCATTCAGCCCACTTCATCGTGGTCTCTGATGGCTGGGACGAAGGTCTTGGTTGACCAGCTTAGCTGTCTAGCGGTGGGCATGCTTTGCAGGTGGAGATATTTTGAAGCTGTTGTTCCTGGTAATGTGGCCACTGGGACCTCAGTACCATCTCCAAGGTGGCTTTCTCCTCGGACGCCCGCCCCGTGTCTAATATCGGGGGATTGAGTTGGGTAATACCAGCCGTGTAGTGTCATTAAGTCGACGAGGCACGTATAAATTTTAGTTAATCTTTAGTGTAAAAGAAATATTATGATAATCAGTACAGCTACAGACGTATCCCGCATACCCAG